TCAAGGAGGAAGAAAATTGGCAGACTTTGTTTCATATGCATGATTATAATAAAAATCATTGAATTCAAGTTATATGCACTGGAGAAACTGTGACTTCTTTTTAAATTATTCAAAATGCTTTCAATCTAGATATTAAAACTTTGAGACAATGTGTTGCATTGTCTCAAAGTTTTCAGACTTTCTTAAATTCTTCTTTATTGAGCACAACTAAAGATTTAAGTTTAAATACAGACACTTACTCTAAAACATCCTGTTATTTAAAATGTACTCTCTTGCACTGCAGACAGATTTTTCTCTGTTTAATGGGTTGAAAATCAAATTTCACATTTGACAGGTAGCTATTGGAAGTAAATACATGGGAATGCTGTTTATACACCAACATTCACTGCAACTGACAGAAAGACTGGGAATTCAGATGAAAGATGACTGCCATTTGAAAAGAAATCTGTCAGGATAGTTATATTAAAAATTGATATTTGGGAGAATTTTCATGAGTTCATTTTGAGTCATCCGATTATTGCAGTAAGGTGTTTTCTGTCCCGCAGGTGCGGAGAGTGAGCACAGTAGTGACCCGTCACAGAGAGCAGCGGGTGCTGGTGATGGTCATCATAATGGTGGTCTGCTACCTGGTCTGCTGGCTGCCATACGGGGTGGCGGCCCTGCTCGCCACCTTCGGCCCCAGGGACCTTCTGAGTCCGGAGGCAAGCATCATGCCTTCGCTGCTGGCCAAGTTTTCCACCGTTGTCAACCCTTTTATATACATATTCATGAACAAACAGGTGAGAGGGTCAATGCATCTGTCCTTTTTGTGTTTTTTTTTTCTGGAACATTTTGCTGAGAAATGTTCGTTTCATTCTTGATCAGACACAAACATTTTGTTGAAATTAATATGTTTAAATCTCAATGAATGTGAAATATTCTGCCTTTAACTTTATATTCAGCTCAATAATTATTACATTTGATTAACAGAGCATGAGCTTTTAAGTTTGTCCAATTCATAATGTAAATCTTTGGATTAAATCAGCAGATTGCCCGACCAATCTAATGTCATCATTAAAAAACAAAACAAAAAAGGAAAAGTTGTCTTGGGGCAATCCAGTTTTTAGAGGAGGTTGAAATTTGAATTGTACTGAATATTAGTTTTTCTCTGCTGCCACGTAACTTGTTAATAAGACCTTTGGAGGGACATGTTAAAGCATAGATTCCTCTTTCACATAGCAGCAAGTGATGTTATGGGTCCATCCTCAATCAATTGTTAATCAGCCACCTATGCGCTTGCATAGAATAGCATAGCATCTCTGCTGAAAGTTGCTTCCTCGACTTATAGACTGGTAATAATCTACAAATGCTGAATAAGGCACAGAATACAGACTATAGATTGTTTTTTCTTTGTTGTCATTCAGCATTTTGTAAATATTATTCGAGTTGATTACCTATTTCTTTCCTGCCAATAGCTGTTCCAGTTGCAAGCAACGTAGTTTTTGGAAGAAAAACAAAAGCAAAATGCTCCCATGTTGAATATCAGCTGTTCATTGGTGCCCTGTTCTTTGAGTAGTAATGTTGATATAAGACACGTTTTCCGCACTTACATCTCTACTTCTTCTATGTTAAAAATCCATCACAAAACTTTTGATTTATTATCTTTGCAGGCAATTTCTAATATAAATTAAATAGATATTTTGATACTCTCACTGTCCACTTACTTCATGTTCAGCATACTCTTTCTCAGCTATTTTGCATTCTCGTTTGATTTTTTCCCCACCAGCATTAAAACAGTTTTTCAGTGTGTGGGATGTCGAAACCACAACATGAATCTGTAGAATATGCATTGAGGCTGAAAATTCAAAGTCTGTTTATTGAAGTGCATAGGGGAAGTCATTGGTTTAAAACCAAAAGAGAATGCTTATTGCTAAACTATAACTGTACCAGCAGTTAAAATATTTTATCTAACATTCTAATGCCATAAACTACTTTTTTGAAAAGTAATGAATTGAAATTAATGTTGTGTAGTTCATTTATTCAGTAAAAATCAGTTTCCACTAAATCAGAAACACCTTATAAAGTAGGAAAGTGTATATTTACAGATGAAAAACTAAAGCGGTTATAAAAATTATATACTTTATTAATGGTATTAAACGTAAGAGCAATTAATGGATTACTATAATCATTTTTATTCAAATGTACCCTCAATTCAAGATTTGTATGTTTTTGAAATATACAAATATACTTCCATGTCCTATTTCACGCAGTATATTTTGCAAAATTTTGGAATGCAGTATTTACAAATATTACCTGAGAAATCACTAAATGAAAAGGGTGTCATAGGCATCTGTTCTGTGTTGGAGAGCAGATTGCATCTAATCATATGACACCCAGGCCAGTAATTAAGTTTTTGTGTGATTTACACCCGCAGGAGGGGTGAGCAGAAGGCAGATTTCTGTCTGCTGGTGCTTCGTTTACACTTCAGGCAGAACACCCATGAAGTGACACCCCGCTGCTTTCACGGTGGCAAAGCATTGATATTCAAGGACAGAGTGCAGGGAAAAAAATTATAAAAAAAATGGAAATGAATCTGGTTTCCATTGCTCTCATTTCTAATTGAAAGCAACACAGATATGAAGGTGTTTACTGCATGGAAGAGCTCACAATCAATAGATCTCCAAAGCAGTTAATAGCTGATTGATATAGATCTGAGCAAACAGACCGAATAGCATTGCTGACTCACGTCTTATTGAATTATTTCATTTAAAAGCAAAACATTAAAACCTTTTGAAAAGGAGACACATTAAGATAAGTTGAACATTTTAAGTTCTGGAAAGAAAACACTCTAACATTAGTGTTTTCTATCTGTGTTGCAAAACAGTTGTCTCTAAGACAGACATACCTATTAGTTTTAAAATGCAGTTGTCAATGTCAGTATAAAATTACATAAAATAGTCAGTTGCTCTTTGGCCTTAGCCTTCAAGTAAGAGATCTTTTAGATATGTTTTGTTGTTTCAAACTTACTTTAAGAAAAGTTTTAGATTTCCTTAATAAAGGTTTGAATGAGGATCTAAGCAGGTTTTGCACCAAAAGCCGTGGCCAGAATTAAGATTTTTTTCCCCCCAATTTTAGGAAGTTTTTATGTTTGTTTTACTGCTTTTGACCTGCAAAACTCTTGGTTGTAATGTTATTTATATTGATTTATATTGGTATGGTTTAAGGGACTGAATTAGGTTAAGTTGATGTTGTTTTTGTTGATGACTTGAGGGCTTTTTGCCAGGCTGGTTTAGGGCCCAGTCCAAGACTCAGTCCAGGATTATTTATGTATGTTTTGACAATTTTTTATTCAAATTATTTATTTATTAAATTGCAATTCTGAAGCAACTGCTGTGGTAGGAAGTGTTTTATTGATCCAGTAATTTACTTTCTCAAATATTGTTATAAATTTTACTCTTTACTTAATTACTGTATAATAAATGTCTTATACTGCTGTTTACATGTCTAAATTTCCTAAGCAATATTTTGAAAATTTACAGCACATTTTTTCAAATATTTGCCAGAATGCCTTACTGCACGTGGATATGGGTCCCCAAGCTTAGATCTAGGTTTCTCAACCACCATTGTTGGGATGAGGGTTTCCCCTCAGGGTAGGGGATAAACAATTAAATTAGGTTTAGGTATAAAGTCCATGGACCTTAGGTTTATGTTTCCTCTAAAATCTTCAGTGTTAGCTTTATTTATTTATTTTTTATTTGACAGAACCTTAATGGTAAATATACATACAGATAACCGATTAAACAAAGAAAAGTGTTCAAATATCTGTACAAACAGCAGCCAGGGATCATTCAAGTACAATGCTTGAAATTAGAGTATATATAAACACTTAAAATGGCCTTAGGATTTGAAATAAAAATAAAATGGTCCAAGTTAACCAACTTTTTGTGTGCTTTTGCCATATGCATTGTAAGAATGGTGGCACCCAGCCCCTGCAGTTGGTACCTTTTGTTTGCTGCCCTCTCCAGGTTAGAAAAGGGTTACTGCATCTGATATTTGCTATTGGTTTAGCAGAGGATGTGGTGTAGTTTACTAAAACTGATGACAGCAGCTTCATCCTGGGCAGCGGTAGTCAATAAATTCAATGATTTCACTATAATGGGAATTGCAAATCAGTCATCGTTTTGTCCATTTTAAGGGTTAAAAATCAGTTAATATATTAGAACTAGAGAATGTTTTTAACATCATCTGCCCACTCTAATATAATCATTTTCCATTAGTTTTGTGTCAGTCAGTCACATGACCTAAAGGTGTATGGAACGGGACAGATGGTCCCAGTATTCAAGGTGAGACAGGAGGTGGAAAGTTCAAAATGTTTATTAACAGAAAAACATAACCAGACAGAACAGAAGTGCGGAGCTTTGGATCTGAGGACTGCAGCGGCTGCAGGAGGGGGGCTAAGCACTACCCCATCACTGACACTCTGATTTAACAGTTCAGTCCATCCTCTCCAAGGAAGGCAGAGTCCAGCTGATGGACTGCCAAATGAGCTGCGGCGCAAATCTGCCCATCAGTGTCCCCTGACTGGCAGCAAACTCAGTGAGCAGCCAGGAATCCGATCCAGGTCAGGGATACAAATCAGACAGGAACAGTTCTGGAATCCAGGAGTCCGCAGCCCAATCAGGGGTTCCGATCCACACAGGAACAGACAGATCCAGGGTTCCAGGAATCCACAGAGCGTGAAGGCAGGTTCAGAGTTCCATGCATCGAGCAGCAGGCTCAGACAGAAACACGCAGGATGCAGACAGGCAGAATCCAGCAGGAGTCCAAAGATGGTTCAGGTGAACTGATCAGATGGGAGCAGACAGGCTCAGTGGTTGAGAGGGAGCAGAATCAGGGAATCAGAAACCACTAAGGAAACACGGAAACGCTCTCACCACTGAGTAATAAATAAACGATCTCTATTGGTCTCTACTGGATCTCTACTGGAACAGTGACTTGAACCTTGGACTAACTAAAACAAACTAAACAAAAGCAAGACATCAAACAGAAAACCAACAATGATCCGGACCCGATAGCTGGGCTGAGCCCAATATAAAGCAGAACCTGCAGGTGGACGAAATCAGGAATGATTAGGAACCGGGCAGAGTTAGGCAGGTGAGCAACATGAGCAATTAAGATCAGCTATCCGGTTAGATCATGACAAAAAATTGTTGGAGTAAAACTTTAATATTCAAGAGAAAACATAATAATAAGAAGAAATGTGTTTAAGTTGGTCAAAAAGTAGCGTGCCTCATCTATTTATTCTAAATTAATGCAAACCATGATAAATGTTTGTTTATCAAGAGTGTTAGGTTCAGAAATTGACGGTCCCCATCACAATGTATGCATGAGGAGCAACAAAGAATCTCTGATCCAGTTCAGCTTAGAGCTGCTGGCGTTCTCCATACAACCGTCCTTTCTTTCCCATCATTTCCTCCGTCTTTGGTGAAGATGGTGGAGAAAAATCCTACCCAGCCCTCAACCCTCCTGTAGGTTCTGTGGTCCTCCAGTCACACCTTTCAGTGCCAGCGTTTTTGAATTTCATAGATGGGCAGAAGTACGTTTCAATAATTGATTAAGACCTGTTCTTTAAAAATCTTGTTACAATTAGAGGTATGGTTTGTCTTCATGATACTGCAAAATGTATTCTTAATCAAAATAAGACAAATAAAGCATCAGTTCCTGTAACATAAAGCTGTACTTGCAGACACACTTCCACAGCAGTAAGTTGTGCTATTCTCTGTTCAGGGATAAAAGCTGC